TGCAATGTGGAGGGAAAGAATATGCGAAGGGGTAAGAAGCCCCGTATCAGTCCAGGCCATTTCAATGTTCGGAGATTGGGAAACAGAAAGCCGCCTGGGCACGACAGGCTGAGGGTATACACAACGTCCACAATTCCTGGAGGGGGTGAGGTCATTGAAAGTACCTTCACTCTCGAAGAGTATAAGGAGACTCGATTCCAATCTGTCAGCATTATGGGCCGGAGGATGCTCTGAGGTGGAGCATCATCAGCATGCAAAAGAAAAAGCGGAAAAGCCAGTACTCACCCACCTGAGAACAAGCGCGCTCCCGGTCGTTGACAGAATAAACAAGTCTGGCGGGAAAAGCCGCAGGAACGGGTCGAGTTTGGCTTGGTTACTCCAGAGCGCGTCGAGGGCTGGGTCACTGAAAATTGTACAGGTTCTTGCAAGGGCAGAGAGTGCAGCTCGATTGTCGTTCGACACCCATGGGTATCCCACCAGATCAATCTCCAGGTTGGAGCATATAGCGTTGAGGATTTCCAGGATCGTGAGACAGCGATGCATGGTCAGAGGAGGTGGTGGTGTGAAGACAAAAGGCGATGTCACGATGTCACCGAGGGCGGTCACATCGCCGCCGCGTGATCGCATCATGATCGCTCGGCAGTCCTCTTGCCTTCCACACTCATGTCGCAGCCGCCGCCTGCATCCATTCGAGACGCTCTCCCCGCCATTCGACGATGAATCTGCCCGCACTCCTCTCGGCTTTTATCACTCGCTCTGCGGATAGAGTCCGACTTTCAATCGTGGAAACGGCCTTGCGATTCTGCGGACTTTTTCGAAACCGCTGCCGCCGAGGAATGTGTTGCCTGATCTGAAAAGGAACGAGAAACTGGTTGTCTTGCTGAAGTATGCCATCATCTTCTGCGTCTGGCGCACCGGGCTCGTGCGCAGTGGACCGACCTTACTGTCAAACCTACTGGCTTCCGGTCCAGAACAAAGTAACGATGTTCTAACGGGATATCCTCTTCTTCCTCTAGATGAATCCTTATACTGTACCCCCGCCTTCCGTGAGCATACAACTGTTTGTATACACCAGCGCATTACTGCTGATTTCTCGACTTCATGCAGGGAAACGTTTTCAATCGCATCTAGTACGTATGAATTTTCGCAGGGCGTGGCATTGGCCACAGACTTGAGACGAGTATCTGTTTTGGCTTGATGGCGAAATGGTCCAGCCTAGTCAACGGACGATTCCTAGGTGCAGCCTCGCTCGGCGGTTCTGCGTGCATGTGGACTCTTGAACCTGGAGTGTTACTGAACAGTCATGAAAATTACCCCACGTTGAACTCCGGCGAACATGCATGCATGCATGGCGATCTATTACTGCGCAGCCTGGTTGCTTCAAAAAAGAAAGAACTTGTATGGCTTGGATCTCACAGCATTTCGCTGACAATTCACATCAAGTTTGGGAAACCCATGTGCAGTGGAGTGCTTCAAGTTGTTTGATACACCCGGACTGAAACTGCGAGTCGATAATTCAATCAGAACGCGGGCAAAAATCACCTCGGACAGTGCATCATATGTATGGCCATCACAGTGCATGCGATTTCATTACACCAATCATCTGCGTATCCCGCGTATACCGAGACTGGACAGCCGCAATCGTGATGGGATGTTTGATGCCAGAAGTTCGGTTTGGGCTACCGCTTGCATCCCGTTCCAAAATCGTGTAGATGCACCTCACGCCTTGGGGACCTCGTCTGCGATCGGCCGCGGCGACTAGGCGCCAGCCTGCGGAAGTTGGAATGTTATCAAGTGGCTTTTACCGGAAAATATTGAACGTCGTCAATGGTAACGGGAGTTTCAAAAACTGATCGCGGTCTTCCGTGACTGTCGCCGCTTTCTCCACCATGCACGTGTGGGAGAATCCCCTGTCCTCCGCAGCGGATTGGTCATCGGCATCGAACAGTATAAGGACGGGACGTGTAGCCTTGTTGCAACTCATAGCCCGGTCGCATATCGCCATTCTCATTCATTCTTTCAACCCACTGTAACCTCTCCTCGTTTATTCAAACATGCAGTTCACCTTCGCTCTCGCTCTTTTCCTTGTCTCCGCGTTCGCTGCTCCCGTTCTGCAGACGCGGGACATCATCGACGACGCGTGCAACGGCAAAGCCCTCGGCGATGCCTGCTCGTTCAGCTCCCCAGAGATTGGGACCATCACTGGCAGTATGTCCACCCTCACATTACTTGGCCTGGCCTCGGCCCTCGTGCAGCGATGCTAAGTGGATTCAAATTTCACAGTATGTTCAAACCCCACGGACGACGGCGTTGTCGTCTCACCCGAGGTTTTCTGCGCGGAGTCATTCTTCTGAAATGGCATGTCCCTCAGCATTCACTCGACTCCCGTGTCCTGATTTCCATACAGCGTTAATGCGTCCCTGTATGACGACAAACGCCTGCTGCGCAGGACGACTGAGGATGAGAACGAGTCATACCCTTTGTACTCTAAAGTGGAAATCAATATTTTGCTGCTGAGTTACCTGCGACGTGTCTCACACCTTGAAGGAATTTATCCCTCAACGATACATACTCGGTGTGGCACCACTTGTAGTTCTGTACAGCGCTTCGAATCCTAACTCAGTGGCAACCGGTCGACTTGAACTTGACTTGAACCAAACTTGAACTCAGACGTGTTGCTGTTTTAGACTGTAACCTGTTTATGGGTCACTGAGCCAGCGCGCCCGTAATCATCGTCCATGTTAAATCGGCTTGTTCCCGGAAAACCAGTCGAGAGCTGCCAACCGTTTACCGTTGTAGACGCTTCCGCTTCAGCAATTGTTCTTGAATTGTTCGGCAAGGAACTGATTGAACGCGGCGTTATGTGGAGTCTGTTTCTGATGCGGCGATTGATCTCAACCCAGTACATATGCTCGATACCGATAGTCAACGCAGGCGGTAGGGTCTCTAGTTACTTGTTATGCGTTCATAAATAAGTTCGACGGCATGATCGTTCAACCTAATCCCCTTTCAAACCCAGAAATGTTGGTAAAACCCGTGCTTTCGCCCCAATCTCGAATCGCAACAATAAGGCGATCAAGGCAATCCGAACTTGACAGGCAACGCATGGAAGACGGTCATCAAGACCGTATACAAAGCCTCATCATTTTCAGGTCAACAAAAGTTTGCTCACAGTGAGTACGTAGCGTATCTTTGCCTGTCATGGTAAGCCGTGGCACAAAAGGGCACGATTGTATCCAAATTTTATCTCAACTTGAACCAATGCAAGCCGTGCACGTGGCGGATCATGCGGGCCGGTCGCTTTTCCACGTCCACGTCACCTTTCTTTCACTTTTCTTCCGTAACGTCCGTTGTGCGACCATCGCGCACACACAATGGCATCTCCATCGGCCCAGTGGCCTCTTCCTTCTCTTTGCTTCGAGTTCGACGCGGAAACCGTCGTCTCATGGTCCTGGACGGCGTCGGCGGAGTCTCGGGATTCCACGGATTCAGCACCTTAGTCCTTTCTTTCGCGCCAAGCATGACGAACGAGTCCGAAGTTCTGTCTCGTTCCACTTCCCTCACAGCCGAGCTGGTGCAATTGGTCCACCAGCACTATCAAGAAACATCGGCCCGCCGTACTTTCTGCTGATCGGTCACTTGCCTTCGCCCGGTCTCGTGCTGTTTCCCCCCTCGTCCAGGTGCAGCTGGAATTCCGCCCCGTCTCGGAATAAATTCGGCCCGTAACCGCAATGTTCGGATAATCCTGTATATAAGTGAGTCTCCCCCGTCGCATGACATCTTCCTGGCACCATCATGCGTTTCCACCTCGCTCAACGCCTCTCTCTGGCTTTGGCCGCACTGAAAGCAGCGTCCGCTGCTACAGTTTACCTCGCTGGCGACTCCACGATGACGGCGAATGGAAACAACGATGGGACCGCAGGTAATTGCGTCTCTTTTTGCCATCGGCCCATTGTGCTGCACACTAACGCCTTGGCAAAGGATGGGGAAAGTTCCTGTCGGACTACGAGAGCCTCACCGTGGTGAACAATGCCATCGCAGGCAGATCCGCGCGCAGCTTCACGCGTGAGGGCCGCTTCACGGCGATGGCTGCGAACGTCAAGGCAGGGGACTATGTCGTGATCGAGTTTGGACACAACGACGGCGGGAGCCTGACCCCGACCGATAACGGACGCACGGACTGCGCTGTTGGTGCTGCTGGCTACGCGACGACGTGCACCAGCGTGTTCGGGTGCGCATTCTCCTTCCTCTATATTTGCGCGAGGTGGAATTGAGCTTCTTGTTGCAGCGGTGTGACTGAAACGGTGCTCACCTACGAAGCCTACCTCGTGAACGCGGCGAAACTCTTCCAAGCCAAAGGCGCGAGCGTCATCATCTCGACCGCGACGCCCGACAACCCCTGGGAGACCGGCACGTTCACATACGCAGCAAACCGCTTCGTCACGTACTGCCAGGACGCGGCTACCGCCACCGGCGCGACGTTCGTGGACCACGGGCTGTACACGGCTGCGCTGTTCCAGAAGGCGGGCGCGACGGTGGTGGATTCGTACTATCCCATCGACCACACGCATACGTCGCCGGCGGGTGCGACCGTTGTGGCGCGGGCGTTCATATTGGCATTGGAGGCTACCAATTCTACGCTGAAGAACTTCATTACACACGATTAGGGGAAACCAGAGAGTGATATTTATTGGAGTTTGTTGATTTGCTTGTCGGTGCGATCTTGATGTTGTTGCGTAGAAAGGGAAATTTGGAGGAATGGGTTCGAAACAACTTCCACCCCTCTGGATTTATTTCGGACTTCCGTCTCCCCTCTCTCCCCATCGGATGCTGAGTTTTCTGCACTGATATGGGCTGTGGAATGGAGTTCCCAAGCGGATAGTTCATAGTTAAAATTGTTGAATGCACGCCGAAACAGAGAGGGGATTCATGAGCTTGCAGCACTCTCTACTTTGCTTCCCCATTCCACGGGAATCCCTTAGAAGAGGCCTGCATCCATCGGTTCGATGGTGTAGTTGGTTATCACTTCTGTCTAACATTCGAATGAGATGCGGTATATAACCAATTCCCTCGGTTGTGCACAGGCGGTCCTCAGTTCGAACCTGGGTCGAATCAGTTTTGCTAGCGAGCCTCCTGGTAGCCACCCCCATGGTTTCTACCGCGCACTGCCAGGTCAGGCGCACATGTTGATCATCGATTATCAGCTGATCATCGCCATGTGGCCGTTTTTGTCAAGTTGAGAACCAGTCCAGAACTCCAGGATGTCGAACAGTGGTGGTGTTTCTGTTCGACAGAGACCCAGGGGTGCCCAACTCGACCGAAGGGCAAGAGTCGACCGAGAATTCTGTATTACCCCATTCGGTTGATATCTTACCTAATGGGCGGTAGTGCTCGAACTTTGGGCCAAGTTCGATTTTCGATCGCCGAGACGAGCATAAATGGTCTGGGAGAACATGTTCAGCAAGAGGTGAGGGCAAGTTGGCGTTGATGTTCTGCTCCAGCGGTAAATCAAGATCATCATAAGTATTGGGCTACTGTCAGTATGACTGGATATTTGAGCCACAGGATCACAGTCCTATCCAAACTAATCCATCCCCAATTTCCTGCGGACCCACTTCACACGGACGTCATCTCGCTCGATAGCGTTGTACGACTCTGCCGCGCTGGGATTTGCCTCGAAAGTTTCAATCAACGCGAGGAGTAGATCGGCATTAAGCCATGACTCGAGTTGTTGCGCGCGCTGGACTGCAGAGACGATGGGTGAGCTGGGCGTGTGCGCTGTAGCGATGCTGAGTGGAAGATCAGTTTCCTGTAGCATTAAATTAGATCCTGCATGGAATTGCGGCAAAGCAAATACCGAAGTAAACAGATATGATGATCTGGATAGGATCAATGCTAAGAATCCTCCGAACGCCCCAAGCATCAACAATTTATTTCGATAGGCAGGCCTAGGGGCACCAGTCAGCCGTTGGGCCGAAGTTGCAGAAGCACACGTGGGGGATTCTTCCTCGGATTTGGCTTGAATGCTCAAATCAGGTGCAACCATTCCGGTTCCTGTGTCAACTCTCAGCGATTTGTTACTCATTAAATCATTTTCGCACCACCATCTCCATAGACGAGCTCCACGCTCTCTTCCACAGGCTTTAACAACGCTTCCGATTGGACTTCTTCGTCTTCGGACTCCTCATCAACCGACCTCTGCGATTCGGTTTCATACTCGTCGTCGTGCTCCTGAACTGTTTGAGGTGAGATCGAAATCCTAAATTTCCCACTGCACGCTGCACTTACGGTGGGCGAAAAGAGCTTCCCCTTCAGCAGTCAACTGGATCAGCGAGTGCTCCAGATGAAGAGCGACGTCCGGGCTGTCAGTATTGAAACCTTTGCCACGGTGCAATTCGCGAAGTGCCTCGTAGACATATTCAGACCACGACTGTCCGTGAGCATTGGCTTGCAACTCGAGAGAAGGGAAGCCTTGCATTCGCTCCTCGTCGGCACTGAGGCGTCCGGACCCAACCGGATCCACTGACCAGTATGCTGCGCATTCTGGATAGCGGAATTGCGTCGAATTCTTCGTCAACAGGTCTTCCAGCGGACATAAAAACAAATATCCCTCTGGAAGCACATCCTCAGTCGTGGAGTAGCTGAGTTTATAGAAGAGGCAATCCATGAGAGCTATAGGTTGATGTTCAGAGTCTACGATATATCACCAGGACTCAGCGGCTACATACCATAATTGTCCTGATCACGTCTCGGGATTCCCAGACGACCGAAAACATGATTTGCCTGAGCGAACCAGCGATTGAAAGAACCATCCAGGAATATTATTCTCCGAATTTCGGGATGCCTAATAAGCTCGGACGTGGCAAAACTTCGAGATAAAAAGAAGGTTAGCCGACAAATCTGATTCTCAGTAATTTCGAGCGCACCGACTCCACCCATTATCCATGAGCTTGGGTTCCACGAGTTTTTTATCGTAAGCACGCCACCCGAAATCGTTGAGAGCATGAGGAGGAGCTAGATATGCGACCTCGACCGGATCTTCTATTTCAAACGTTTCCTGCGCATCCACTAGAATTTCAGGCTTATGAACCAGGTTACCGGAAACCAGACTTCCGAGTCGCACTGAACCGTATTTGGGCACTGGAAGCAAGAAGTAGGCGCTCAGTGAGTGCCAAAACATTTCGTGGACTTCTTGTAGCGTCAGGGTAGAGATGATAAATGAAGCCGCCTCTTGACCAAGAACACCAGTCGGGATCGGGGTCTTCTTTATGTGGGGAGTCCAGATACCGTAATAAGGAACTTCTACTCCGGACACGCTTGGTGAGATCATAATACACAATTGGCCAGATGAGCGGCGCGACCAAAGGGTACAATCACGACCGGGATCGGGGTATTGCCTGAATCGCTAGCGGCAAGCAAGATGAGCCGAGAACGCACACCAAAACTTGGTTGTACTTGCCAGCCATATTCCTGAATTGTTGAAGAAGTATGACAATGCATCCTACCAAAATGTCAAAAGCTGTGCGCAGACGATTCAATCTCCGTACCCATAACTCGATGCCCTGTCAAGGGGGAACGTCTTCACAAAAAAGATTATAGTGAATTGATGATTGACGTACTCTATAGGCCTGGCCATACACGTACGAGAGAAGCGATCCAGCGTACCGGTGATGGTCCCGCGGTATCACTGTAAGACTGGGCCCGGGTTTTTCTCACCCGTTTGCCGGGTTAATATCCCCATTCACCGGTTCAGCGGGTCGGAATCGGATGAATCAGAATCGGGTGATTGTGGCCCGCCAAAACGGGTGATTCTGGTTCACCCATTGAACGGACATGTTTCACCCGGTGTGGAATGGCCCGGTGGGTCAACCCATGCAGGCGGTGACAATCACCCGGTGTGATTTTCCGAACCGGGTGACTGTAAAAACTGGGTACATTCACCCGATGAATGGGTTGAATTGCCTAGAATGGGCTTTAGCTGACTCGGTCGACGGATGGCACACTATTTAATGACCCAGGAATGTTCTAAAACACATTCAAGTGACTGCCCCGGCTTCGAAATTGATTCATTTAACAGCGTGTTGATGCTATTCCGGGATCTTTCAACGCCAAAGTCCCGAAATGGAAATTTTATCCTCGACACTCATACTCATGGATCCTAAGCAACATATTGGTTCAGAATAGATACCAAGCTCTTAAGAACTCCAGATCGTTTTGTGTACCATTATATTCTGTCTCCAGGTGGGATTTGCGCGGGTTTGCACCGATGTGACTTGTGACGCTGTCATTGATATCTTCCTCCGCGACCACGCCGTCTCTTCGCACCCAGCGATGTCGCATAGACCCCACCAGACGACACACCAACAGCGGGCTGAGATGCTCAAGCGTGATTTGGTTTCCATGAAGAGGGGTTTGCTCGAGAGAAAAGGGTACTAGCTTTTGCAGCCTTTTTGCGTCACCCTCTCATGCCGAAATTCCAGATATCCCTTCGATCCAACCATAGATTTTAGCCAGGTCTCTCCAGGGACCACGCAGAGGGTACACTCCCTTATGATCGCAGGATCGAAGTCGCCGGTCCCGGAGACACCAGCGCAAAAGAAGATCAAATCCGAGACTGGCTACTTTGTCCAGAAGCGGATTGAGAAAGCGAAGGAGCTTCAATCTTCCGTTGCAAAGTACCTGCCAGATGTACAGAAATTTATACAGGCAGCACAGCAGAAGGATGAACTTAAATTTCCGGCTTCCAAGCTCCACCTCTTGAAGGCGCTAGAATCTATTCGGGATGTGCTGGATGACGTCGAAGAGATGGTGCACGAGAACGACGACAAGGAGCCGACAGAGCCGGACTCTGAGGCGGAGGGCGATGCCGATAGGACCATTGTAAAAACTCCAGACAAAGATGTCAAAGTTATGTACGCATAATTTGATACTTTATTAGCTTTTGGGTACATTATCTGGTGGGAGCTCTAGGTTTCTGCTGGGGGAAGGACATGGACCTATGCCCCTTACGTTCCCAATACCGCTTAGCGCTAGGTGGAAGCCCCCATGCTCTACAAAAACATTGGGAAAATGCGACTATATATTCTCGTAAACCCAAATATACTTTTGCTGGGCTCCGAATAAATTACAGCGGAGCTATTATACGTTTAAACTAATCGTCCGGGTCATAATAAGGACGCGCCAGGCTCCCGCTGCGGTCGATGAGTGCCCAATGCTTCTTGCTTAAAGTTTTGACTCGTCCGACAAGACACTGCACCGTGCTAATATCCACGATTTGCAGGGCACCTTCGTCGCGGTAATAGTGCATATCGAGATCGTTGTGCCCGATCGTTTTGCACTCAGAGATAGCGGCGAGAATGACTGTTTCGGCATCCTCCAGCCCCAGCTCTGCAGCCGGCTGAATGTTGACGACGAAGATATGGCGCAGCTGGCCATAAAAGGTTACCGGTTCGAAGTGCGGAGCCAGCCGCTTGTTTCGCGCATTTGCGTCGACCAAAAGAACGTACTAATGGGGAAAATTAGCAGAGTGTTTTGAAATTTGTGTTGGAATGAACGTCACCCGGACGAACGTAGCATCCCGCCGGTCCTCGAGAGAGGTAACCATCGACGAAGCCAGCATCCGATCACCGCCCTCCAAGCGCTCGACCTTGGCCCACTGTTCGACATCTGCTGCAGTGAAACATTTTTTTACAATTGCAAGTGGTTTGTCATAACGGGTAGCGAGGGCGATGGCGATCCTCTTGACCAGTGAAGGGGAAAGGGACTCCGAGCGACGACGAGGAGGGAGAAGAACACAGGTAGGGTCTGGTAGTATATTAGCGTTCGTGATTTCATTGAAGTAATAGTCCGTACATGAAGGGTGCGCAAAGGCGCCGCGAGACAGGTCTTTTTTGGGGGGGCCGAGACGAATCGCATCTGCACAAGCATACTTGACCTTGATGGTTGAGAGCTGCGCAGTTGCGACTACATGTCCGTCAATGCTCGCAAACGGGAATCGGCGGCTCTTGATGCAGGGCTGCAATCGCCCGCAAAAGCGTTCCATGGGGAAAGCCCAGTAGGCCCAAACGGGCCCTGCTGCTCGGATCCCGTCTACGATATGCAGAAGAGCGTGGAGC